CGTTATGTTTACAATGATCTATCATAGCCTTCACATAATGTCCTGAAAGATAAACCATGGATCACACAAATAAAATGTGACTCCAGTTTAAGTTGAGTGAATAATATACGTCCGACTGACAAATTGTTTCTTTTTATTTTTCCAATATATATTCATAGCGTTGTATCATGTTTTCAGCTTAAATTGTACTAGTTTTCACTCTCATTTCAGTGAATATAAATTTCTAGCAGTACTGGTAGAATATGTACTTTGTAAGTGAATGACTTTACTTTATTTTACTAACTAACCAAAATATTATGTATTGTCTAGCTAATGTATGCAACATAACATAAACTAGGATTTTTTAGCTTTGTAGGTAAAATAAAGTTTGATATAATTTAAGAGAGGAAAAATGCTTTAGTGACCACACAAACCGCATACTTAATGAAGAACAGAGTATCGGTATTTTTATTCTTTTGAAAAAGTCCTCTTCAAACCATGAGCAGTTTTCTTTCCAACATCGATAATATTTAATTACTTCAGATTCGTATTTTTGCGTAAGACCAAGCAACAATCAATGAATTAGGTTACTTATTCAAGTAGTTTTATAAATTAAATCAAAATGCTGAAATCTAAATTATTCTCAACATATTCATTCGATCAATAGTCACTGATTATAAAAAATAACTATGGTTTACATAGTAACAGGAAATGAGATCTTCGTCGTTTTGGGAGGGAATTATTGACATCGGCAAAATAAACCGTTAGTTAGACCCTTGACTTCCATTGCCTTGACTTTTCTTGTTTCGCAAGTTTGTATTTTTTCACTTGCCAATGGATTGCTTGCAAACATAAATTAATGAAAGCTGCTTAGTTCTGTGAAAAACCCATAGGTATCTATTTCAACATTGGTTATGAATAGATTACCTATTTACGAATGTATTTATTCGATCGGATATCACTAAAATATATTTTACTTTTAATTACCATTTTTAAATTTATTTAGTTGTTAGTAAGCACTAGGTACTTGATATGTTTCGAGTAAATGTTAAAATACTTTGTTTCATTCATAGTGATTTTGCAATATGACTTGTGTTTTGATTTCTGAAATAAATTTAGCATAATAGAACTGTCAATAGATTTAATTGAAATTTCCAAAATAATGAAATCAATTAATAAAATGATTTTTCGCTGATCTACCGTAGATCTCCTAAGAAGTTAACTGATGAATTTGACTAATAGTTTAATATTGAAATAATCAAGTGTTATGGTTATGTATTTCATTGTTTTATGTACCACTTAAGGAAAGTTTTACGTCCAGCGGAAATCACTGATGCTACATTGGTAATAGTTAGCTAAAAGCCAGTGTTTTGGTCGGTTGAACCTCTTGAGTGGTTGTTATTGATCGAAGCTACGTCAGCTTAAAATTTATTTTCATCTATTCGGTAATTTGTTCAATGGTCAGTATAAGCTCTAAGACCGTATTACATACTGTGTCACTGTGGAATTTGTTACAATGGAAAATTACCATGTTACCATGACAGTGTATATATGCATATGTCCAATAGTGTACTTCTACTCTTAGCGATTCAGAGCATCTATGTAATATACTGCATGTACATTAGATCAGTTTGGGTCAACGAGTTAGATCACTTATAAATTATTTCATGCAAGTATATATTTTTATAGCATGTAAAGTTTTTTACTATGTCATTGTGTACATTAAACATGTGTACAATTGATTCTAGCCTTCCTGAATTCATTGAATTCTCTGTTTCCATCCACTTAATGCAAAAGAAACAAGATATTTTACGTAGAATTAAAATAAAGGTATTTTATCAGTCAGGCATATATAGGTTAAATATTTTTGTTCACGTATTTTTAAAACGCTTGATCCTCGGAAGTATTGAAAGGTTTAATATTGATCTCATTCTGAAGTACTAGTTTATATCTGTTCACTAACTAATGAAAGCGATGCTTAATTATTTAAAATATAGTAATAAAAAGGTTTCTTTTTGAGTTAACGTAGAATGTATAGGTTTACATACATGTATCACAATTTACAGAATTTATTTGTCATTTTGTTCATAATTCAGATATGTATATCTGGATGAATGACACAAATACTTATATGTGAGTTGATTAACGTCAATACTCAAGTTAATATGTTCATCGTTCCGGACAGCAACCTGTCTGCTACCACAATTAACAATCTCAAGGAACCACTGACTTAGTACTTTAGCAGAATTATTTCATGCAAGTAAATTTTATAAATTGTGAATTTTCGGGACATAATTTCCTTACTTACATGTAGACTATCATTAAATGCTATTTCTGTTTTAAGTTAAATAAAACAGCTGTATATCCAGTTAAACAAACCATTACTTATATCCTGCTATTTGGTTAGTATAACTTACTAATAAATAAATGTATTTATATTATTAATTTTTCAAACCAGTAGTTAGAGCCACAAATAAATATAGTCCAAATCTTATAAGTATAGCTATTTGAAGGAATTGGTATATTTCAATCAATTTTCTACAAAAGAACATACTTCTTTCTAGCATATATTTGAATAACACTTCTGTTGTACGGAAATTATTTTCCTAAATCTATAATAGTGTACAGACTTACAAAAGGAATGGTTGAGTAATCTTGAGAATTCATTTTTCTACAATTTTTATTTTAGATAGATAGTTCACGTAGATGACCAAAATATTTATTTCTTTAGAATTAATTACCTGGACACATGATTATTATTGTTATGAATCATTGGAGTGAATACTTTTGTAGATCGTAGTATAAATTGTTTTTTAAACATTATACTCAAATCACAAATGTTTGTTTTATTGAACTAGTGAACAGTAAGTACAAACTAATGAGAAAAACGATAAATTACTGAGATAAACTGGATTCAAAATATATTAGATGTGATATGTTTCAAATTTTTTACTGAATCTAACTTAACTAGAAGTACTTCAACAACGGTAATAAATAGGTGTGTTTTCAGTTACATTGGTTACAATAATCTCAACCTTTTCTTTAGAGCAACATATAACAATGCCTAAATTTAGAAGAGTAGACATTTACTATGCATCGAATGTTTTAAGAAACAGGAGAGAACAAAGTATTGATTTGTTAAACCTTAAATAGATTATTGTTTGTACCAAAGGTCCACTGTGTTTTAATATAAAACCCAAAGGATGCGTTGATGCTTTTAGCTCCTTAAAAGTAGACAGATGTATGAAAACGAAGCAATAAACGTTAAATCACATTGTTTTCTAACGGAATTTTTGGCTTCAACATAGAAAGTATCATTGGTATTATAATAACAAGAAGAGCATGATGAATTATAAAACCCCTCAGAAAATATCCCTAACTGACTACTAACTTTTTCACGCTTACATAAACACAGATATTGACAAAATGATAGAGGAAAAACAAAACTTTTCAGTATTCACATGATCAGTAGCCAGTATAAGATTTTAAAATGAAAAATCACTTTTCATGATAAACTGTTTTTCACAAGCAATATCAATTGGTAGTTTAATAAGTTCACAAAAATCATAAAAATTCTTCTTCAAATATAAAACATTTAGGACTACAGAAACCACACTGCTATTTTTTAATAATCCTTCGGAAAGTTTTAAATAGCATGGAAAATGCCTCGTTTTTTTTGAAAAGCTATTCTACACCAAAATTGTTATGAAGGCTTATAGATTTTTGGCTCAAACAACAGAGAAAATGTATGCGTATTTGTGTACAGACATTTGTGCAAGTCAAATTAGCAAACGGAAGGTGAAGTACATAGGTTATTCACCATATGCTTTTCACTGAAAAATTACTCATCTATTTTCCACTATTTATCAATGTTTTTGAAAACAGAACTTTCCAAAATATCAAAATCGTATTTCAAATGTGAAAATACAGTAAGAGAACAAAGCAGCTTAGTTATTTTCGATTTTTTCTCTTCAAAAAATTGATTTATGAATGCTAACAAATCAATTTATTGTTAAAAATAAATGTAATGACTCTCTTTTCAAAATATTCAGCTTTGTTATTCAGGTAAATTGAGATTTTAAAAAAGGCATGTAACAGACTCAAACAATGTTAAGAATGGAAGTTCCGGCATTAAACGAAGAAACAGTAATTAGAATATAGCCTGAAGTGATAATAACATATTTTCCGAAGAATAACAAGATGAAAATTGAATTTTTAGAATAACAAAAGCAATTTGAAGTTTCGAATCTTCAAAAGACTGAAGTGTTTTGTTACTTTGAATTTCAAAACAACTAAGTTGTTTATAAATATGGTGAGATAAACGATAATAGTTTCATTTCTTTCTGACCTGATTGACTAAAGCCTAATCTTACCTGTGAGCTGGTTGTTTTAAATGTCTAGCAATATTTTACTTCCATTCTAAAAATGTTTTCACCAAATAAATAAAGTTTGCTCAGATATTTTCTTGTGGGGTACACACTAAATTATTGTAATCATTGATCGTAATCATTCTGTATAATTAAGTAGTATTATCAATAGATGCTTATACAAGTTGGTTCACTTCTGATGAATACTGATGAACATCAAAGTACTTGTAAATAAAATATTTTTATCACAGTTATCAAGTTAAGAAACAACTTTCATTCTAAAATCAAACGTTTCATTGCATATTCCATAAACACATTATGTTGATAGTTTATATTTTTTACAGGTATGGTACCGGGAGAACAGATCATGATAGTGCATGTTTACAAAATCGATAATAATGTGTGTATGTAGCTATGGAATGTAAAGTATCTATCGAACTCAGTGGAGTGATTTTACTGTTTATTAAAACGGACATGATAATAAATAAGGGTAATGGCTAGGAAAATTCTTAATATATCTTGTTTCAACACAGTACTTTATCCATAAAAGTTACGCTCAGCTGGAATTAAGCTTATTTAGGAACTAAAGTTTTGTTTTTATACCTTTGTCTAATCATGATTTATTCTGTTTCATTTATTCTGATCAATTTATAGATTGAAATACTACTGGAAATGAAAAATCACGTAATCAGAGTAGACAAGTAAATATTTTAGTCACTTTATTCATGAGAACAAAAAGACGATTTCAGTAAAAGTCAACACTAGAATGAAACGAGGTGGGCTCAGCCGAATCAATGAGAATTTTGAGCTTACATATCTGATTCCGTTGAGAATAAACACACAATAATAAAGATACATCAGTCAAAGATCAATTATAACAAATGCATTCATAATGTTTGATAAAGAGATATGATACCAGATTATTTGACAAAATTTCAAACTAACAATTTTATAAGGAATTCCCTAGGTTGTGTGACAAATGCCAAAGAATCAGGATTAGTGCATTCTTCAGTCGTCAGTAACACTGGTATTGGACTTGAACCATTTATAGGCATGAGTAAGTTATGAGTTTGATGTATTAGTTTAATTATGGTATGTTAAGATCATTTAATATGTAATATGTATGCGGTAATATTTAGAAAACAGGAGTTTTAAGCATAATAATAACATTAGAAGAAAAATGTTCATTTTCACTTATAAATTGCAATACAAATGAGATAGTCATAAATTCTGAAATAGCACATTCTTTAATCCTGAAATAACATCAAAGTGATGAGTTGGTTTGGTTCAGCTAGATTTGAGATGACAGGTTGAATAAATATTGTTCTTATCTACTTTATATCACACTTCCTTATTGCAAATGAATTTGTCAAGTTTCGCATAGTAAAGTTTGGGAATCAAAGTTTGATACAATTTTTTAATTATATGTGTAGGAAATCGTCTTTGGTTTACGTTAGATGTTAAGCAAATCACACCTGACCAAGAGTTTCCCAAAATATCGATAAGGAGCGAAAGTATGCTACATTCAGTGATCTTGAAAACAAAAAATACATACCTAATCGGTGATATATTTGTATTTCAACAACGGCACAATAAATACTCCTCAAAATTTAGAATAAAATGAATACTTTTCTATAACCTCTTGCTTATTTTCATCATTCATTTTGAATTAAACATCGTATTTAATAAAATTTATAGCATAAGATATACTTTTCAGTAAAGTAAATTATTATTTATCTATCTATTTCAATAAATGTATATATAATTTTTGTTCTGTGTAAAATGAACTCACTCTCACCTTAATTCTACAGTGAAATAGTCGACAGAACAAATTTAATAAATGAGAGGGAAATAGAAAGAGTTATGTGAATAATTCTTTAACAACAATCTAACTAACTATTACAAAATAATAAACCTCTAGGAAATTAAATAAAACCAAAACAGTAAACAAAATAAGTGGATTTAATAAAAAGAAGTATCGAACAGAAGATAAAATTGCAAAAAAAACTGGTCACTCATATTATCATCAAGATAATCGATAAATTCTGTAAATGTGTTTACTGTATTTGTTGTTTGTTCTTAAGATTAAAAACATAACAAGTACATTATTACATCCAGCTTAGTAGTTTAAATATTTGTGACTGAAACTGTGAAAGTTAAGCTATTACACTGAAGAATACATAGTAGTGAAAATTATTTTATAAAGACGTATTGATTTATTTTAAAACTGATAGTATCTAGTACTATAAATGTCTAGTGAGAATAGATTGTTGTTTCCTAGTGAAATGAACATAGATTTAAATGGTATTTTGTAAACGATTCATTAAATACTGATACACTACATCCATCTTTCATCTCTGAAAGATTTGCTAGCGTTGCGAAACTAACATAGAGTGTTGGTTATCATATTCCTTGTTACGTGCCAGTGAAATATGCGTAAACTAATAATCTGATAAATATTTATTACGAAAATGGCTAACTTACTATCGCATTTCCGAAACTTGAAAAGCTACATTACCATTTGTTTTAATGTATCAGGTGTAATACAGACTTTTCCAACAAAGATCATGTTATGCCTTAAACTATGTCCTCAGTCTTTTGGTTGATCCTTTGGATTCACGTTTACTGAATGAAAACTGATCCAACTTTTTCAAAACTTTACTACTACTGTAGTTACTGCTGCATTGACATAAATGGTTATTAAATGCAAAATGCTACATACTAGTAGTTTACTAGATGAATAACATTTTGATTCATTGTTATTCGGTTAAACGCACTCCATAAAAATGCATGTTTGCAGTCTTGGGAACATTAATTCTCTCATTAAACAGTGTTACATTCAAATAATTTTCAACTGAGTCATTCAAACTATAACTGACCATTTGAGACACTGAGATATTTGTGATAATCACTGGATAGCAATCTGCTTTGTGTTGTTCAGTTCCTCTTTCGTGCAATAATTTCATTGATATGTACTGAGCATTGTAATTCCTTGCACGCCTCCAACAATATAATACGAATAAATTAATAAAGTAGACTCACTACCTATGATAGAAATCGTAATGCTGAATAACATGTGTATTACACAACGATTTAAACAACGTTTAAGAAATTGAGATAAGTTGATCCAAATAATGTTTTAATCCATGTTTTCGACCGTCAGTTAAATTTGATTTATAAGAGACTGTAAGCATTTCTAGCTGACGTCATAGATCATTTTAATGCAATTCATCCTTAACTCCATGATCAAAGTTCGTATGAACAAACTTTAACTATCAAACTTTCAACAGAGAAACTTATGAAATTCGTTTCACATTGAATGAAGACAGAATAGACGTATTTGTTGGCCACTATATATCCATCATTTACAAGAAAACATGGGTAACCCATAGCTATTACTGACCAATGACTTTGTTTAACACTATTTGTGTAAATTTACATTTAATTAAGAAGCCAAACTATATTATCTACATAATAAATTAGTCAAGTTCAGTGAATGTTTTAAATAACATGAAAATTTATTACAAAGCTGCTATTAATTATCTATCGTACGTGTATATAAGTTATTTTTTATTTTTTAATTTGGTAACAGGTGATTATAACATTCCAATAGAAAGTAACTCACCAAATGTAGAAAATTATGCTACAAACACAATACGTGTTCTAGCAGATATGTTCACATGTAGACTGTCAAATTTTCCTATGACAGTTGGGATTTTCACTCATAAAAACAATCAAGAATATCTTTCACAACTAGCAAGTAAGTTGTGTTTTTTTTTAATATGACTAAACATTTGAAATACATTTGTAAAAACCAGCTGTTTAGTAACTTTTGTGCTACAAGCATTTGATTTAGATTCAAATATTTAAACAAAAAAAATCACTGAAGTAGTTCCTAAACATAGAACGAACGAATTATTTATTCACTCATTTTACTAATACTCATTAGTTTTAAACTGACTTGTCATACTGTTACTTTCTACAGATTCATTATCCGAAATACGAAGTGGAAAACGAATCACTTAAGTCCAGAACCAAACAATGATGTAGTATTGATTACTTTTAATATTTTTTAAGGTCATTTCAATTCTATAGCATCATTTTTATCTAGAAAGTAGTCACACTGCCTGAAGTTAATCCCAGCTTTTTGATCATTATTGGTTTGTAGATCACAAACGTAGGTGAATTATTTGATTAGTGAGGGTTGACTAGGGTTTGAAGGGTATCTTATATTGAAGTCACAATAAATGACTCTGACTATAGATTCGTGGTGTCTTGGTATTAGACTAGTTTGATTAGTACACAGAGAAAACATGAGCTGATTAAATAAATGTAGGAAAGGAAAGGACTAGAAAAGTATCTAGTAAAGCCACAGCTACTTGATCTAGTGCAAGAGTTGCAAATGACTAGTCATTATTGGTCGGGCTTGGCCTTGACGAATTTCGGTAAACTGTTCAACATTCATCAATCTACCTATAATATAGTATCAGCCCTACAGTTATGTTCTGGAATAAATCATTTTTACCAATATAGTAGAGCAATTGAGGCAAAAAAAGAATCTTTTTGCATTTTAGATATTCTTTGCTTGATGCATTATATTTTCATATTCTTTTTGAATAAAAAGTTAGTTTTTGACTACACTTTTGCATATTAAAACATCTTAATAACTGCCGGAAATGCAGTATTTAACAAATTCTCCTAATTCGTAAAATACTGGAACATAAATTTTCACAGTTGAGAGCACGTAGTTGAACTATGCAATATAAATATATTTATCTTTTAAAGCATTCATGAAACAGTCCATAAAGACACATAATCTGGCAATAAATATTTTTTGTTGAATCAGTGAAGGCTGATTTATGTACTGAACGGAAGATATCTACAAACAAATATATTTGATGTTTACACTTCATTTAATGTACGATCATACCGAAATTTATTTTCAATTCAGATTTAGCAGTATTTAGCAACATAAATTGCGAAAACAGAAAGCAGGAATTCACGGAAAAAATATTTATTATTCCTAAAATTATCCTTCAATACATATCTAATCTGAGATATCCTTTTGAAAGGATTTTTAATTCCGTGAAACACCGACAAATTTGTTTTTTTTAAATATCAAACTAAATTTCCATTGACCAACTTTTTATTAAATTAACATACTTAAATAAAGAGAATACAATCAAAATTTAATGAAAGATCAATTATGAAAAATTATGATAAATCTTTTCCTGATTCTAACCATAACTATCCCATAACTTTTTTTGTAACAGGTGAACTACACAACTTCAATCGTCCTGAAAATCCAATACCCTTGAAATTTAGCAAATTACTCTTCGTATTTCCTCTAGTAATCAGTACCATTTTAGGCTATTTTGTTGGAATGCTTACTAGTTGGCAGGTTGGCTTATCTATTGGACATATTGGTATGTTCATACAAATTACTTTTCTAGGTGAGTTCCTTTGAATGAAAAATATTTTACTTTAATTCAACAATCATCGCTTCAATCACGTAGAACAGCTTCATTTGATTTTACGAAAAAAAACGAAAGTTATACGTTATCAGTGAAATTTATGATTGCCAAAATGGATGTATATTGATAAAAACATTACGGTATTAATCATAGTTACTAGATCATTTCGACTGTATTTTATTAGCCGAGTCAACTGTACATTCTGGACAACTAGTCCAGAACAATCGGATAAGCTGACTTTCAAATTAGATACTAATACTGAAAACGAAAGCAAAAGCATAATTTCATGTTGAGTCTCGAGATGTTGTAAATTTTCTATCATGTAGATAAAGTTCAATGTGATGTACGAAATATATTAATCAATGAAAAAGATGTTTCTCGTACAAACTATTTTATATTAGATAATTAGGTTATCGTGTTTTCTGCTTTAACTTTAAAATATGTTTATAAGTAGCTTATATGATGCAATTATTTCAAGAATCCATAATCTACTTCAATTGCATTAGTTAAAGGTAGTTCTTGAGAAACTATAGAAATGTTTCTGTTACACCCGATCGATTAGACACAATTACTTCAAAAACATTATTATAATATGTCACCATTCATATCTTAGTGCTTATAATGATAAAAAGTAGGCCGAAAAACGTCTCTCTTTTATTCGCATTGAAACTGAAAAGGATTCATTAAATTATTTTCACAAATGCGATCATGTTACATTGGTAAATATAGATTTACACTACTTACGCATCAAAATTATTGAAAACCAAATCAATCCATATATAAAGAAAAAAAACCTGTTTATAAGAATAGTGATACATAAATATTCTGGAAGATTCTACAAAAATAGGTGGATAAAAAAACCGACTCATTGCTTACTTCTTCACATATTTTATACTTCGATTGAAAAATAGCTGAGCCTATATTTAACATTTGAACGATAAAGAAAAAAAAACATTTTTATACCTAGAAGATAGTGTTAGATTTTGACGAAATTAACTACAACGAAACTGTAAAGAATAAAGAGGCGAAGGGAAACTAAATCAAATCTCTTCCTCTTAAACATACTGTTACTGAATGACAAATACTCCTAAAATGTTCTCTTTATGAGTATGAAAAATGAAAACGGAAGAAGAGTGTGATGAAATGTAGTTGTTTTATGACAGACATATAAGTATTATAAAAATATGTTCATGCAAGTTAACTGCAGAAAAAGCAACAACAACAACAACAAACAAACAAACAATAAGTACCCTTAGAGTGACTTCCGTTTAAAAATACTCTTGTCACTAAATCTTCAGTTGATCGATATTATTTGAGTGATAGTACTTTAGTCAAATTAATACTTTATACGCTAATTTTGCTAATATTAATCCACAATAATGATGATAGTGTTCACAGTTGTGATAGTATAGTGTGATAGTGATAGTAGAAGTAGTGGTAGCAATATCGTAGCTAACTAGCAAGCAGTAAATTAGTCAAGTATATAGAGGAGTACCTAGATAGATGTGCGTCATACTAAGTAATAAATGCTTCATTTTTATGTTTCAAATAAAACACTCGTAATTCATACTCATACTTTTATTTAAAAGAATAACTTTCTGAAATATGTTAGTTTTCTTTTTTTAAAACAAGACTGTTTGTGAAATATTTATGATCTTTGATGTGTAGAATATAAAATTTAATTCACAATTTCATTTTCGATTATCTTAAAAATTGTTGATTTTTAATTTTTGTGACAAGTTTTACAAATAAGTGCATGCTTAATGATTAAGGTAGGTCAAAAGAATTAATCAAGTATTTTCTTCAGTTTATATCTCCAAATATTATAGATCGATTTGACTCTGATAATTTTTCAAGTAATAAATTTTACCAAGTTCATTCCTTACCTTATTTTTAAAATTTCCACGTTAAACAATGCGTTATCAAAAGCCGCATTCGAAATATATTTGAGAAAATCGTGATTTAAACAGCAAAGCATAAAAATTATAAGTTGTTGACATTTTGGATTTGAAACCAGTGAAATTAATGTGTGGGCTATTAAAGAAGTCGATGCACAGTCATAAATTTAGTATGGCGAAAAGATACGCAAATACGCATGAATTCAAGTTCACTTAAATAGAAAATTTGCATGGATGAATGGTATTAATAATTATACGAATGTATACAAAACTAATTAAATTATAATGACGTACACAATTCTCATACGTATTGTTTTATTCAAGCATAGTCATAATATGCTTGGTATTTTGAACAAGTCTTTGTAAAACGTAAGGCGTTAAGTTATACATAAATGCTACTTATATATAGTTTACAACCATTTATAAGATGTTTAATTTATAATTTGACCACATAAGTAAAATGAAAACATAAATTTATCTTCTGTGTTTCTGTCAAAAAATATCTTTATGTTTCATCCCATTAAAATTACGATCTGAACTGTCGCGTTGTAAGTGTTGGGCACTGAATCTCGATGAAATGTCCAGATGATCTGCATAGAATGAACTCATACTCATAATCAAAACTCAACCCTCATAATTAGCAATCAAGATAATCCAATCTGATATCTGTAAGAAAATTAAGCGCGTTCGACAAGAAATTGCCTATCTGATCGCAGTAGCCTGATGGTTAAACTACTGAGAGTTTGAATCAAACCTGTTATGTTCAAGTCGCAATGTGTACGTCAACTTTGGAATACATAATCATCCAAATGAAGAGTCATAAACAAGAAATTAAAACGCTCTGTTGATTTTCCTGCTAGCTGCGTTTTATCTATTAAATGTATAGTTTTGTACTATTTTAGGATTTTTTTTATTACAGTTGACACTGTCACTATCATACAACATAAACATAGTATCTACCGGTGATTTACTGAACAGCATTTTTCTGAAGATAGCGTCAGTACCTACTATTGTATGGTTTTAAATTACAGATAATAAATTGATGTGAAATAAAATGTGAAAACTGAAAAGGTTAAGTCTTCTTATTGTAAGTGACAACTGGTAACATATTATATTTTCTGATCTGATGAATTTAACGAATTTATAGTATTTTACAAATCTAATGCTACTCACTATGAATAACATAATTACGAACATTGATAACGGATAAAAATTCATGAAACATTTAGAAGTATATTTTTGGGAAAATTTCTTGATACCGGTACTATTTGTAAGAGTTTGATGATCAACAATAAAAGACACTTGATTAAACAACTTGGTAAAAAAGGTTCTGTAAGTTCATTCAATAATACAATTTTTTTAACACTTTAAAGTATTCTGCTTATAAAGAGTTTGTTTTAAAACAACTTGGAAAGCGATACAGTTAACTCTTGATCAAACTAAGATAATTTTATATCATTGATCTTCACCATTAATCTATTTGTTTAGCGTCTAATGTACTAACTTACTCATAGTTCAGTGTGTCGTGGAACGCGTTGCGGTTGACTAAGTTTACCACTACAGACCAATTAAGTTCCCGTCACTAGGTGCAATATCTTTGTGAATCAAGGACAGAGATGAAGAGTTAATCCATACAAGGGAACATATTTGCTGGCGATTTCGTGATATCAAAGAAATACCGAAATCATGCCTGAAAAATGGAGCGAATTTACAGCGCGCGGTAAAACCAAAATAGCAGCAACATGAACAGAAAGTTTGCGCGTACAGACTAGGAATAAACAAAGACTACTGTAAAACAATCACTGGTACAATTGGTTATAATAATGAATGAACGTTCTCTTCGTAAAACTGTAGTTACTACAAATGAATCAATATGACATATTTTAATAGTTACTGATTTAAACCATAGTTTAAATTTTTACACTTTTATATTTCGCTACATAAATACACAAAGTAACAGATTTATTTGACTAGTTAAAATGCCAGTATTATAAAACTGGTAAAATGCTTAGCTATCAGTATTGTTAGACAGGTAATTGTTATTTAAATATAATGAGCTGCATATATAATATCTTGCCCAAAATCAAATGAAGTGTAATACTTAAATAAGATCGTCCCAGTTTTCCGTCTTATTGATCAAGTAATCATTTTTTTATGCAATTTAATAATAGTAAGTATATATTGTCTGGATGTTTCAATGAATGAAAATGAATAAAATTATATATTTCAACAACTTTGCTTCATCCGTGCATTATGCATTTACAATATTCATAAATTTGAAAAAAGGAAAATAATTTTCCACGGAGTATTAATACAATTTAAAATGATGATTGAAAATTTTGTTACATAGTTTGTAATTTAATATTTTTATCAAATCGTTTAATATATTCTTCTTTAAAAAAAATAGTTCGTCTCTGTCCATGATAAAATTTTACGAATAAGAAATGCACTAATTCTAAATAATTTTATATTTTTACTAACCAACTGTGTATAATTTATAGGAGTGTAGTTTCAAGTGTAAAGAAATGTTCTTTTTTTTCTGTTGCTAAATATTATTATGCTATCTGAGTTCATTTAGTTATAAATATATCAATAAAAATGAATTTCCCGATATAATCAATGCATTATTTTCGGATATTACAAGAGGGTCCATATGGGACTTTTCCCTTAAGTGTTTCCAACCCACTCCTGAATCAAGCTCTTCCTTTGCTCATAATATGCAATGTGAAAATTTTTTTTACCTAAATACACTCGAGCTGCCATTTTTTGCAGTGTATTTGAGTGATTATTCTGATAGTTCACTTTGGCTACTGGAAAGTGGAAATTAATTGAATTATCATTTCATCTCGCAGAAAGTAAATCACATTGATTAGGACTAGAAAAGATGATAACAGATGTGGCTACAATACTGCTAAGAGTTAGGGATTTAGGATTGTTATATAACAAAGGTGGTAATGTTTTAGTCATTGTGAAAAATTTTAATGACTGAATTATTCTTCCGTGACAGAGTATATGTCTACTTAACATTATCTGAATGAAAACAATTCTTCCAAGTGTTAGTTTCGTTAAACAGTAGTCAAG